CAAACAACCAATCAACCAACCAACCAATCAACCTGAGGACCCAACTAACCAACCAACCAACAAACAAAGCAACTGACCAACCAAGTCCTTACATCCCTCCTTGGTTGGTCTGTGGATTCAGGCCTGATTAGCAGCTTTCAGGCTGAGTTTCTCCTTAACACCCAGATAAACTACAGAGCGACACCCTAAGCTGAGTAACGCTGAGCTAAAAACAGCAGTGAAGCAGCTCTGAGTGATCGGAGCGACGCTGTCAGCAAACACAGCGTTTCCCTGCTCTGAACCTGCTATAAACCCTGGGAGGATTAAAACATCTGACTAAATAAAGTGCAGTGAACCATTCTGACCACAAAAATCTCCTGCTCATCAATGATGTCATCCAAAAAAAGAATAAAGCTAATTGGACATTTTTACACATCTTCCGAAATATGCCTTTATTGTTGGTATGTCTTTGTTTTGCTGGTGCTGCAAAGGGCTCTGGGATTAATTTATGGGATGATCTACAGTCTGGCTTAGTAGGAGGAGAGTTTATCGTCTGTACCTTTAAGGCCAAACATCCCAAAATATATTCACTTCTGTTCCTTTGGATCCTGCCCATTCTAAGGGTAAAGTTTCTTGTATTCAGCTTCTGCTCTCATACGGATTATCACTGAACAACAACAATAATGCTGTGTCTTTAGACTAGGAACAGCATCTCAGAGGCATTTGACTCCTAAGCGGACGCCCAGATGTTCTGCTCCATTATTCTAATGGATTAACCGGAGATCACTTAATTAACCTGAACCACCCAGCCATGCACCAGGTTCTGTTTTTGAATAACTTCTCTTAGAGACGATAGTTTTATTGCTGGACTGAGAATCAAAGTGACCAGACGGAACCCAGAATGGAGGAAAAAACCCTTAAAATCCTCATTATCAAAGTTTCTTGATGCCATTTTGATCATCTGAAATCCCTGGAACCTGAGGTAAAAGCTTTGCATTCTGGGCGTTCTGCTGCTGGGGAACTAGAACCACGTTCCTACTTTTAAGGCTAGGCTTAAAACTTTCCTTTTTGATAAAGCTTCTAGTTAGAGTGGCTCAGGTTATCCTGA